GAGGGCCACTCGCATGATCAGGGGGCAGCAGGGCAGGCCCTACGAGGAGAGGCTACAGGACCTGAACCTATTCAGCCTCCACAAGAGAAGGCTGCGGGGGGATCTAGTGGCTGTTTACAAACTAGTCGGAGGGGACCAGCAGGCACTGGGGGGGTTCCTGTTCCCCCAAGCACTGCCGGGAGTGACTAGAAATAAGCTGGCAGAGGGCCGATTCAGGCTAGATATCAGGAGGCGCTACTTCACTGTCAGGGCGGCTAGGATCTGGAACCAGCTTCCAAGAGAAGTGGTGCTGGTTCCTACCCTGGGGGTCTTTAAGAGGAGGCTGGATGAACACCTTGCTGGGGTCATTTGACCCCAGTACTCTTTCCTGCCACGTTAGGGGGTCGGACTCAGTTATCTGCTCAGGTCCCTTCCGACCCTACTAACTATGAAACTATGAATCAGCCAAATACAAATTGAATACTTCCCTGTTTGCACAGGGCTAGGAATCGGTGCTATGAATTCATTTTGAATTTTGGATTTCAATGTTGTAGTATCAGATTTCAAAAAGGGACCTTAAGAACTTAATTTTCCATAATTTTTGTATATTACATAAACTAACAAAGTGATGTTGGGATTTTGAGGCATTATTTTATTTTGCTGCGTTTCTTCACTTCAGCAGACTGGGTTTTGCAATACTCAGACGCACCAAATTATTTCAGTATGATGCTTTTAATAGTTTTTATTTCAAAATACTTTTTCTGCACTGAAGAACTTGTGACCTGAATATATAAATTATTTTTGGATGTGACTAAGAAAAATGAATGGGTGAATGCGAGTTGGTAAGCATCTCTTTGGATACAGTGAAAGCTTGTTTTTGTGATTCAGGGTCGTATTTTGCAGAATCTGCTAACTAATTGTACCTATCAGTGAGGGAATCTCATTAAGCATATTTATTTAACTTTCTACTCACTGTAGTGTTGATGTCAGGTATTTTATATTAACATTTTTGGTGACTTTGTAAGTCAAGTTGTAGTATGCTAAGGCTGCTTAATGTAACAGTGACCAAAATTATTCTTGGAAATAATATAACTCAGTTGAAGTAAACATTTTAAGATATGAAATTAGTTCATTGTTTAAACTGAATGGCTTTTGGCTTTGTTAGCTGATTTTATAAACCTAATTTTTTAATGAAGCCACAAATGTATCTATCATTTGAAAATGGATCCTGAGCAAGTTGGTGAAACTGTATGTCTTGTATTTACTGCTAAAACTCGGAAACCCAGATACCACAACTTATTTTTGAGGTGGGGTATGTTGTCCCACTTCTTGATTTTGTATGTTAAATGTGTATTCCAAAGCATACCGTATTTTCTGTTGTAAGGTGGTAGATGCCATTTTTTAACAGTGCATATTGTTCTTTTCTATTTCTTTTTTGTGGTAATATGAGGCATGCATTGTGCATCTTGATTTATTATTTCCTTCCTGTACATGGAATCCAAAGGGATACCAGTAGTTAAGGTTCTTTGAGTATTTTCCTTTTTTATAGAAACACTTTATTTTCTTTATACTAGTCCAGATGCTTAGATACAGGTCTTCCCAGTCAGCAAGCAGAGTAAAACTGTTTGTGTTTTACACTATCCTTTTCCAAGGAATATGGGATTCACTGGCTCCCAGGATTCAGTGTTTGCCTCCAGTATGTATAGCCAGGTGAAGAGAGAAGTTTCAGTCAAGGGGAAATTGGAACAGGTTGGGACATCTATGATGATTTCTAGTAAGCATCTTCTAAAGGAAAGTGACATGCAGGTTTGTGCTGTCAAGTACAGGATACCAAGTTTAACTCAAGGCTTTCTCAGGTTGGTTTGTTGCTTGTTTTTCTAGACTTTCATGTAGCCAAATGTTGTTCAGGCTGAACAGGTGAAGAAAGAGCAGTTCCCAGAAACCAAATCTATGGCTTCCCCAAGCACAGCCATGGAAGTAACCCTACCAGCCATTATGATGTTAGTCTCACATGTGGCAGATTATTCCAGGCTAGCTGTCAATTCCCCCTGAAACCCTGGCACAGTCCTAAAACCTTTGAAGGAGTAAAAGCCACTGAAATTTGTTTTTCAAGATATGATATTTTCCTGTTCACATAGCATTAAGTTCTTACTGTGCACTGACATGCGCAAAACTGCAGTCGCTTACAAATAGCATCTCTCTGAAATGAAAGTTATTGCCTGATGGGCTCAGAGAAGGTGCAGACATTGAAGAGGTGTTACAACAGACTCCAGGGTATGCAAATTATTTTTTCCATTAAGTACCAGGTCCTAAGCTGTACCTTGAAGACATTCAGATGCCACATTGATGAAGTCTTATAAGCACCTAGACAGGGTATGAAATGGTTCACTTAAAGTAAGAACCTGGCCCTGTTACAATGCCAGTCACAGATCAGAAATTGGATTCCAGGCACACAGTGCAACCACTCAAATCTAAGGAAGGCAACAGAAACAGCTCTGTTCTGGCTGTGATTCATATAACAGGAAACAGTGGTCTGGTAGGGCAGGATGCAGATGAGGTCAGAAGAACAGGAAAACTTCCAATGAGTTTCTAGATCAATAGATACTGAGATGTGACTGAAGTGGATTTAAGAACCTACAGGTCAGACAGGAAGCAAAGAAGTCATTTAGCAGGTCCAAGAATTCTTGGGGCAAATCAGGAAACATCCTGATCAGTCAGTCAACTTGACACATCAGATGTGTTTCCTGGGCCATCAGAGGCAGAATCTTGAGGACTTCTTCAAATGTTTTAACTTTATTCCCCTTGATTGGCTAATGATACTGGTGTACTTGGATCTAGACATGTCGGTGTAAAGATTTCTCGTTCTGCTAGTCAAAAAAGATCTCCCTAGGCAAGCTCAGTCTTCCACTCCACTCTGGGTTTGAAGGAATAACACGTGTTTAGTTTCTTTTCCCCATAAGAGAAAGGATGCACTACTGAATGAAATATCTGGGTCCAGAATACTGACTTGAAGAAAATTTTATTTCATTTTCTGATTTCTGTTTGCAGAAACTTGTTTCCTACATACAGCACAGGGGAGCAAAACCAGATGCTTCCCAGTCTGTAATTCTAGATATCCTGCAGTTCCTGCAAGCAAAACTGGATTGTATTGGGATATCATTTCTGTAAAAAGCCTGTTCTGAAGCTATTTACAGCAGTACAGAGCCTGGAGGACTACTTTACTCTTCTGTGAATGGCACCTGAATGGCATCAAAGCTGTTAGCAATCTTGAGGCCAGGGAAATGGTGCTGTTAAGCTTTTCTGTTATCCCTTAAACTTGGTCCATACTATTCAATCAAACTTAAGTGTATTCTTAAATTTACTGTACTTCACTGTCTTGATTTTTGTAGCTACTTCAGCTTGATTCCTGGAGCTGAATGCCTCATTCTGTAATATGCAATGACTGTCAGTAGGTCATATGCAGAACCTCTTGTCTGTGTGACCCTGCCTGAATTTAAACCAAAGGCAGTTTCAGCCCTTCATTTAACAAGGAGAGCGAGCCTTGTTACTTCTGTCCTGATCCACAGAGATCCAACAGGGATTTGAAATCACTTGACTAACTATTGAGACTGCTTTGAATTTATCTTAGCTAGCAATTGAGTTCAGAGATTGAGAGGTTATTTATTTATCTTGCACGAAGGATTTACTGTAGGTAAGGTCAGAAAGCCTCCAAACAAAAAAATTCAGAATGGGTTAGGGAGCTGACTAAAAAGGGAATTTGTAATAAAAACCAAGATGGAAGGTATCCTACCTATCCAAAGATAATTTGACCATGTGGATGATAAATATTTGTGGCAATAAAAAACAGAGATATTCTTTTCACATGGTGTTTATCCTCAATTAAAAATTTAGCATGTTAATTTGTTCTGCTTAGTCTGCCCCATCTCTTCATTCCATCCAACCTCCATGACTTTTTATGCTTTAGTGTTAAAGAAACATGTTTATTTCCTGTGAAGTAATTGAAGTGTGCAAAAAAAGAAATTGCACAGTGGAGAAAAGCAAGTGCTGAGGCAAATTCAAAAAGCAAAAGACAGCCATTAAAAATGTACTGAACAGGCAAAATCAGAATAGCGTAGCTGTTTCTGGGCAGCATATCTTTGCATTCTTAAATGAAAAAATATTGATCTTCAATAATTTTTAATGGCTATAGAACAAGTAACTACAATACAGTTCCTCTTTTCATTACAATACAGATACTCTTTTCCATTGAATTTTGTCACAGAATGGAGGTGTTTGGCTTTTAATTGTATACTCTTTGTTTATATTACAGGTTAACTAAACTCCAGATATTGGAACTTAGAGAAAACCAGTTGAAAATGTTGCCAAAGTAAGTACAAATGAAACATTTAAGGTATATGCATACTTGGGGTTCCATTTCACTAGTCTCTTAGGCTGCTTGCAGATGTTAAAAAACAAAACAAAAAAAAAAAAAAAAGGTGCTTCACTGGAAGCAGCAGTACATTACTTCAGCCCAGTTCTGCAGCATCTGTAAAGATTGGGTGCTTCAGTGGGGCTTTTTGGCACTTCTAGTTAGAGCTGATTCAATCAGCTATTAAATAAGTATCAAAAAAGCCCCACTAAAGTGCTTGATTCTTACAGAAGTTGGATAAGCTGTGTTGAAGCAACGCATTGCCTCTTTTGGGGCATGTGTGGGGCTCAGTGCAGGCACACCAGGTTTTTAAAAAAGTGCCATTTTGGGTTTGTTTTTTTAACATCTGCAGGCATCCTTAATGACTATTAAAAAGAGAATTGAGCCTCACGTGACCCACGGTACACCACAACCCAAAATTGTTCAGTCCTCTGGTTGCAAATTTCCTTCCTCTCAGGCTCAGTATGTTTCTCTCCCAGCTCTCCAGATTAGCTTTCCATTCCTCTCTCTGTTCAGGTGGACTCTGTGTCAGAAACTTATATTCCCCATATCTCTATTTTCCCCTATCTACTTTACTGCATCTCAAGAATTCTTTAATTTAATTTTATGAATTTGATTCCAGGTTAATATTTGTTACTTTCTACTTGGTCAGTATAGATATCTGAAAAAATGCAGTATACTGCTGCCTTATTCCTGTATGCATTTTTGTATTCATGCATAATTTTATTTTAGGGACTTATTTTGACTTGAATGTATTATTCAGATTCTGTTATTGTATTCACTTATGTGGGATTTCGATGCTTATTTTCAGTGACTGAAAATAAGATTCATTCATTTTGAATGCCTTTGTTTACTAATACATTTCTTGCTGAAAAAAAATACAAATCTGTCGTGTGCAATCTGTTATGTAAAATGTGTTACAAAACAGATCAGCGGCTTATTTAACATAATGTGAGTATAATCCCCAGTGTTGCTTTTCACAGTAATAAAGTGCCTGTCTAAATGTTATCTGGGATTGTTTTAATGGGCTTTAACTGTTTATACTTTTATTTTTAGATTGTATATTATTTCTAGTCCTTGCCTTGTGTCTCTTGATTGAAAGCAGGGTTTCGGAATACTTGACTTTTATCCTTGGCCAAATAAACCTAGGCAACTGTAGTTTCTATACTCTAGCACTGTGTTGAGTCATTGTATTTTGCACTTCAGCCTTTGAACATTTAGTAGAGTGAACCCAACAAGTAGGTACGGTGAAACTTAAAAAGTTAGGTGTGACCCATATCAATATTAAGTACAATAAGAAGGATTTTCCTCTGGCCTAATGATTCGGTAAAGGGAAAAGTGATGGTGGAGTGGGGAAAGAAAAAACAACAAAGCCTTATTTGTCACAGCATACTCCAGCAGATAATTGTTTACAGAAAGTTGCAGCGTGGATTGCTAGCCAGTGTTGCTAATGATTGCACTTAAGACACTTGAGACATAAGCGAGTAATTGAAATCCTTTTTTGACAGAATTGATTGTGACTTTTTTAACTTGTGCCGAGGTACCATATATAGTGATGGGCATATGAACAAAACAAGACACAAACCTGGGATGAAATGAGTGACAATTACTCAGAAGTAGTGACATCAAAAAGAGTATTCAAACAAGGAAATTAAAATGCTCTGGTTTTCATTTCTGTAATGTGTGTAATTCTTTTGGTAACCTTAGCTTCATCATAATTTATTTCTGAGGTAACAAATTTTCAGCAATAAAAGTGAGATGGTTTAACTTTGAATGTTACTTATGTAAACTGGCATTCCTTAAAGATGAGAGAGAGATCTGACATATGAGTGATAAATATGGTTAAAGGTAAATATGTAGTTAATTCTCAGCCAAAACACTTCATTCATATGGCATTGAGGTTTAGAATATTTATCAGTAACTTAGGGGTACTCAAAGGCAAAAAAAAAATAGGGCGAGAGAACATTACAGAAATATTGTGCTTTGTATGCAAAATCCTGGCTCTACTAAAGTCGATAGGAGATCTACCATTGTGTTCAGCAGGCCCCCAAAAGTTTTACTGTATGTGAAACTTGATTCTGTGAGCACCGTAATTATATTCCTGGAAACACAAATGCTACCATCCCACTCACATTCTTTAACCTCTTCTAGAACCCAGTTCAGTAAGATAATTAATAGGAACTATCACATGTTTTAAGTGCATGCTTTTAAGTACCTTTCTGATTTGGGACTTGAGAAGTAAAACATCTATGTATAGGATACAGCTTATGGAAGAAAAATCTGTTCTTTTGCCAGCGTCCCAGCATACCAGCAGAAGCTGTCTGTCAACACCTTGAGTCAGTTTTGCGGTTGACTGGATCAGCAAAGTAGTCAACTGTTGCCTTCATTATGAAGTGAAAATGGAGGTTAAGAATAAGACTACATTCAGTTGTTTAAAAAGTTTAGATGTATGTTCAGAAATGTGAAAGCACTTCATACCTGTAGAAAACGAAAAATCAATATACAGTACAGTCGCAACTTACACGTATTTAACTTACGTGAATTCAGCTTTACGCGGTCGGCTGCTGGGGCTGGCCGCTGGGTGCCGGCCAGGGCATGGCGTGTAGTGCGGTGCCACATGGTATTGCCTGCACATGCTGGCATGGCTGGGGGGTTCATGCTCAGCTGGCTGCCCTGGCAGGATGAGGCGGCAGAGGACTAGAGGGGTGAAAAGTGCATGCTATTGCGCAGCTGTTGCACTGCACGCAGTTGTGCGGCGCCACACCCGCCTTGTCCGGGCCCGGTGGCGATGGCAGCAATTTCACCTATATGCGATTTCAACTATACGCGCTGACTTTGAAACGTAACCCCTGTGTAAGTTGCAATTGTACTGTAGCATTAAACACTAATACAGAAATAAATTGAAAAGGATATGCTAATATTAAAGTGTTTTTTGGAGCTAATGAAGTGTAGCAGTATGAATCGATTTCTTTTTCTTTTTGTATGTGGATTTTTTTAGTTTTACCTCTTTAGTTTCTTCACGTGTGTATACCTGTATTTTTGTTTCTTAATCATAGATGTATTTGGACATATTTATTACAACATGCTGCTTAGTGCTTAGCAGTCCTGTTAAATGCTCTGGTTTTTAGGCCTGTGCATAATATTTCACACTGTAGCATGTGGGGTTGTTGATTAAAATGTGTGATTAATACCAACAAACTAAATCAAAATTATTTTGTCAACTATGTTGCATAGTTTTAAAATGATTTGTTTACACCCTGAAGAATTGGAACTATTATAATTCAAACTGGCTCAATAAAAATAGTGCTTATTTAAAGGAAAGCAGTTGTGTGCAGAGTGTTGTACAGACTGTTCACATGGTATGTAGCTGAAGGAAAAGAAAATGCATTTTTTTTAATACACACCCAAAACAACCAACATTTTTAATCACTACTTTACTTTTCACAAGTGAGACTTGCTCCAAATGATGGGTCCAGCTTTGGGCATAGGCACGGACTTTTATTTTTGCTGGGGGGGCCTAAAATGATGGCGCCCCCTCCTCCCCTCAGCTGGAGCAGAGCCAAGTAGATCCTGTGAGGGGAGTGGGAATAGTTTGCTCACTGCAGACTTGGGGCTCCCTGCCCTGTTGCCCTCCCCTCGGGAGTCCTGCACTGGCTGTGCCATCATGGCGAGGTGTCTCCTGTCCACTTGGCGGCAGCAGCAGGGGACACAGCTCTGCATCAGTACCCCCACTGCTGCTGAGCAGGCAGGGGGTGCCTTGCTATGGTGGCGCGGCTGGCGCAAGGCTCCCTGGGGAAGGGAAGTGTGAAGGGCTGTTCTGCAGTTTAGCCTGAGCCTTCCAGCTGGGAAAGTGAAGGGCTTTGCCCTTCCTGGTCTGACTCTGCATGCTCTTTGTGGAAATAGAGGGGCCCAGGATAGTCTTACCTGGCTGACATGCCTCTGTTTCATGGAGGAGCATGTGGGGTGGATGGGGAAGTGCTGCAAAAAGAGTGCAGACTGAAGCCATGTGTGATTCCCAGTCTGCCTCTATAGGTGGTAAGTAGGGCGTTTTAACTTGGCTGTGGTGGCAAACATGTCATAGCACCCCTGAACAGGGATTGCATTACCCTGGTTGAAAACCACTGCAGCATATTCAGAAAACACATGGACCACCATACTTGGGTCCACACAATTATTAATCATCCTAAGCACATCAAAAATGGTATAATCTACAATCAGGCCCTCAAATACCACTGCATCTGCTCTGAGGAGAATACTTGTAGCACCCATGTTGTCAACCTAAAATGGCCTTTATGTAACAAGTCTAGCAGAGAAACTGATTATATCTTTGAAATAGGCTGCAGAACCACCCCCCTATGACTGTATACATTTGGTGGCCACCTGCCACCCCACGCTTGAACTGCTAAGAGGAATCATCAGACAATTACAACATATACTCAAAAGAGATCAAACCTTGAGAGAGAGACTTTTTTTTCCCGCTCCCCACCCCCTGGCTTTCAAGCAACCCCCAAACCTTGCCCAGTCATCTTTAGAAGCAAACTCCCTGCTAATTAACAAACATCAAATGGGACACGCACAATAGATGCACAACACATTTTGGCTGCTACAGCAGTCAATATCCTGCACACAACAGAACCATCAGAATTAATGAATCCTACAAATATCTCCCAAGATGTGGTATATCTCATCCATGTAGTAAATGCCCTCATGTGAACTATGTGGGTAAAACTAGAATCAAGCGTGTCGTGAAATCTAGTATGGTCAAAGAAAGTGCCCTCATACTAGAAGATTCCTGTTCCACAAGAATATTCAGGATTCCAAACCACAGATAGTGGCAGCAAATTATACAAGTTATGTTAGCAGCCATGGAAAAGTATTAGTCGGTTCCAGGTATCAACTATAGTCTTGTTTGCTATAGCAACTCTTATTATATAATGCTCATGTTGGTATATGAAGAAAGTAGATGGTTAACTAGCATTCTACAGTGAAGTGTGGGAAATGGGAGGAAGTAAAACAGAAGAGTAGCTTTGAGTCACTTTGACAGAAAAGACTATATTGCTTATAATTTAATTTTTTGTAAATTCAACTAAATGATACATGATTACACAGCACTCTAATTTCCTTTGTGTGATTTAGTCAATAGGATCATTGTGTAGTTATTTGATTGAATAATGTATGCAAAGTATCAGTACCTTTCTAAGTATCATTCTGTTTACAGAACTGTCTCGTTATTTAATGCTGATTTAAAGGTATATTAGTATGAATACAGGAAGATGCAGAAAGACTTGTATTTTCTTAAATCTAATTCCTTCTTAATCCATTCCCTATGCAGAACCATGTCCAGACTGACTCAGCTGGAGAGACTGGACTTAGGAAGTAATGAATTCACAGAAGTGGTGAGTTTTAGCTTAGTAGCAGAGCTTTGAATCATCTGTAAACTTCTTTATCCTTAAATCTATTTTTAATCAACATTAAAAATATAAAAATCAGCTTAAGGGCTCTGTTACTGAACAAATATTGTATATACCTCTTACTGTATTGTGGAACCTACTGTAAAAATCTGTCTGTAAATATATTTTTCCTCTCTTTAAAAAAGATTTTATGACACAGTGGACGTGTTTACTTGTTCCTTAATGCACCTTAATTACTGCATATTTAGTTTAGTACTTGTTTAATGAAGTACTAAGTAAACGCGCAGTAAGTATAGTTACTGCACTGTAGCGCTGACGCGTGGTTATTTTGTGATACTTACTGCACATTAGCCTAATAACACTGCGCAGTAGGCTATTAGCTCAGTTTTTAACGGTCACACTATTGTACATTAAGCTAATGTGCAGTAAGCATCTTGTCCACTAGGAATGCAACATTTGATGGAAGCTGTTTTTTAATGTGCATTAAATTGGGGGTTTCTTTATTTAGTAACTACATCATTGCCTTGTGGAAGTGTTCACTTGCATCTGTATGGCAGACTAATACTTAGTAAACCATAAAGATTTCATAAATTTCATAGACATTAGGGCTGGAAGGGACCTCAGAAGATCATTGAGTCCAGCCCCCTGCTTGAGGGGCAGGAAATCAGCTGGGGTCATAGGATCCCAGCAAGATAAACATCCAAATTTCTCTTGAAGGTGTTCAGTGTAGGTGCTTGAACCACCTTCGATGGCAGGCTATTTTAGACCTTGGGGGCTCGGACAGTAAAGAAATTCTTCCTTGTGTCCAGCCTGAAACAGTCTTGGAGGAGTTTATAACCGTTCAACTTTGTCATCCCTTGGGGCGCTCTATTGAACAAACGTTCCCCCAGATCCTGGTGGTCACCCCTGATAAACTTATAGGTGGCCATCGGATCACCCCTGAGCCTGTGCTTTTCCAAGTGAAAGAGCCCCATAGCTCTCAGCTTGTCATTGTAAGGTCTGTTTTCCTGACCTCTGATCATGCTCATGGCTCTTCTCTGGACTCTCTCAAGCTTCTCCACATCCTTTTTGAATTGTGAAGCCCAAAACTGGATGCAGTACTCCAGCTGTGGCCTCACCAAGGCTGAGTACAAGGGGAGAATGATGTCCCGGGATTTGCTTGAGAAGCATCTATGGATGCAAGCCAGCGTTTTGCTGCAGCATTGCATTGAAGGCTCATGTTCATCTTGTGGTCAATGATGACCCCCAAGTCTCTTTCTTCCATAGTGCTAGCCAGCGTAGCACTGC